TTGTCATGGCAAGCATGATTTGACTGACTGATTTTCTACCCCACCAGGACATCACACAAGAGATAAACACCCAATGACACAAAGTGCCACCATGCGGATGAGGATCGCCGTGGAGAGGTCCCAGAAACTGCATTCAGACATTTGGCCATATTTATGGCCTGCCTATATTGCGGCCCCCGGCAAAAGCCAGGGTGGAGCTTCAAATAAAAAATTTCATCCTGAAAAGGACGATAGAGATAGTACTAAGCATGATTATAAAAAAAAAAAACTAAAGTAAGCAAATGAATTAACATATATTCATACAAATGACCATAATAATATAATAAGCCTAACACTGTAAATAATTGAAATTTTTTTTTTTTTTTTTTTGCTGTAGTGACCCCTTAATGTATGTGCTAGCTGTTTGATGTCGCTAGGATTACAGTCTGTTTTATGAAGAAGAAAAAACAACAACAGTGGTAGGCGTTCTGTCTGGTTTTCCTTGGCAAGGGAATGGAATTATCATGATGTGACCTGTTTAATGTGCAGTTGAAACTAATGACGAATAATACAAACAATATCTGGTAACCCTCGTAGAATCGGTCAGGAGTGCTTAGAAGATATTCATATGCCCGGTGCCACCACACACACACACCTGATGTTCTACAATACTGTGTGTTTACTCTTGGTGATTATATTCTTTGACATTTTAGTTTGTCTTGTACTTAGGATTTATTGATGGATGCATTCCTCTCTAGGAACATAATGTTCTTATAGGGATAGATAGAGAGGTAGGTTGATGTATGAGTGGGTATGTAGGAAGGTTTGTAATTGGGTGACTAAGAAAGGTTAAGGTAACAGGATCTACTTCATTGCACTGGGTTTGATCCCATATGGCTCAGTCTCTCTCTACAGAACAGCTAGCTGCCTACCAAGAGCGTGGCATAGAACGCTAAGAGGTTAGGTAGATGTTTATATGAGTAAGTACGTGTGTTGGTAGGTGAAAATAATAATAGATGATGAGTGGAATGAGTCGTAGCTTTGCAACGTCACTTGACATGTACCTTGACGTATGCCATATCTCCTCTCACCATGGCTCACTCTCTGGACGATTAATTCGCACTGCTCTAACGTCTAGGGTTGATAACACAAACACTACCCAGCTTCCTTGTACATATCATCAGTTTATTCAGTTACATTTAATCGACATGTTTTCACAATTATTCAGACTTCTATCGGTCGCGACATATTCAAATACTGGTCACATGCACGACTTAGGGACTATAGCTTTTACTACTAAAACTGTCTTCTACGACTATTGATGATCAACTGACCACGAGGCTAGCTCGGGCTTCCCCTCGTGTACTCCACCAGCCACAAGTATCTCGTGCCGTCACTTGTAGCATGGATTTCTCGCTTTGTTCTCTGGGTACATGGCGACCATGCAAAGCACCTCATCACAATGAGGGTGGTGGGTAGGATAGTTAGAGAGTTAGAGAAAGAAATAGACAGACAACTAGACATATATTTTAATCCTACTTTGAAATAGGTCATCTGTGGGTGTAATGATAATATGACAGTAAATATACAAGCAAAAAAATACATATTCTCTCTCTCTCTCTCTCACACACTTTCTTTCCCTCTCTCACACTCTCTTACTATCTCTCTTTCTCTCATTCTCTCACACATTCTCTGTCAGTCTTTCTCACCCTCACACACACACACACTCTCTCTCTCTCCTAGCCTCCCTTGATTAAAACGTAAAATTGTTGACAGAGGTGCAGAGCCACACACTGTGGTACACTAGCACCTGGGCTGATACCATTTAAGACCTACCTGTACCTTTCTGTGGTCATTAGACAAGTTCCCAACTAGGGGCCTCACCACTGTAGATAGTATTGCAGTTCCTTCAGTGTCATAGTGCATGAGAAAGTAAGAAACCAACAGTCTGCACACAAATATAACAGGTCTGTGAAACGAATGTGCTTGACACCCCTTGTTTCCTAGAACAAGAAGTCCAGAAGAGGATGAATAACCAGCCCCCCCCCCCCCCCCCCCTTCTCCCCCTTTCCTGGTAGATTACAGACAGTAACTATAGAGAAATTTGAAATAAAAAATGGGATGTATTCTGTGCTGTGGCTTGGTAAGCGTAAAGAAGAAGCAGGTGTTTGAAATATAAAATTTGTCTTCTTCTTGAGCATTTCTACCCTTTTTAAGTTCATTGCTGCAGAAATCACATGCTTCCATTCATCTCTCTGGTTAGCTTCTCCCAGTTGGTGACACAAAGTGTTTTTAAGTCTGTCTGGATATTATCTTTCCATCATTTTCTTGGTCTGCCACGTGGTCTGTGACCATTCAGTGTAAACAGTTTTTACCTCTCTGTCATCTGAGATTCTTTTATTATCCTGAAACATGAAATGAGATGCATAAATATAATGATCATATTTATGTGAGATCATGAGCAGATCGCAAAAAGAGACATGAATTGTATAATTAGATGATTAGCAGACGTTTACTGCACCAGGAGACCAAAGAATTAAATAAAAAGTGACAAAAGGAGATTTTATGGATCCACCTTGTTTTGCCTCAAGCTGTGACCGGGGTTTTCTGAGAGCTGTTTGCCACAGATGGAGCGGTAACAAAGGCGAAGAAGTGGTTTACAGAATATTCATTTAATCAGGTTAATGATTGTCTATACATGGAAAGAGAAGAAGGTCGTAGAGCAAGAGGTAGACCAAGAACAATATGGAAGGATAACATCAGAGAAGCTCTACAACAGCACGATGTGCCTATGGTCGAGGCGGCCAGAAGAGCCAGAAACAGAACCTTATATCTCCCTCGACACCCACAGTGGTAAAAGAGGAAGTAAAGAAGAAGAAGAAGAAGAATGATTGTCTGTGTCTTGGGAGCTACGATGGTGTTGTGGGTTTGAAGGTTGTGGGTTCAAATTTGCATGGAGCCGGATATTTTTTAAAGAGGAACAACGGATTGGCATCATGGCACATGGGTAGTAATCCACAAGTGCTCTGTTATACATCTAACTCAAGTCTGAGTCCGAAGTAGCTTAGCATAGTGCAGGGGCTCCGTAACACCAGCGAGGATCCTGAAATATGTGGGTAGATTTTCAACTCCAAATATTGCTGTTAGGCTACTCTTTTCGATTTCCAGCTGCTAAGGGATTTTATACGAGTATACAATACACATGGGCGTCCGATCTCACTACCCAAAGATCTGGGGAAATTACTAGAAGTCCACGTGAACAGAAAAAATCCCAGCCTTCACTGGAGCTTGAACCTGGGACCTCTAGCACCCGAGGCGGACACCATACCTCGAGACCATGCAGCCCCCGTAATTTTTACACAATGGTGCTTTAATTTTGTTTAGGCATTTAGTTAATGATTGGACAGTGGAAGTGGATAGGGTCAGTTTTGATAGATGAAAGTGGATCATAAGCAGCCAAGGAACAAGTGAACAGTTATTTTGAAGCTACTGAGACATGACAAAAGACACTTTCTTCAGACACACATTCTCTCTCTCTCTCTGTCTGTCTGTCTGTCTCTCTCTCTCTCTCTCTCTCTCTCTCTCTCTCTCTCTCTCTCTCTCTCTCTCTCTCTCTCTCTCTCTTCCCTCCCTCCCTCCCTCCCCCCCCCCCCTCTCTCTCTCTCTCTCTCTCTCTCTCTCTCTCTCTCTCTCTCTCTCAACATATGATTATTATCAATTAATGTTAAAAGTGAGTAAAAGCATTATGGGACAAAGTGAGTATAAAATTCATAGCTCATCTAAATTGTTTTTTGTGTGCTCTAATAATTTATGTGGCATTTTTATTTCACTCAATGCTACACTTGTACTAAATTGCTTTTTCTGTTTTATTTTTTCACTGCCTTTCATCTCCCAATAAATGAAACGGGTGTAGATCAGTATAATTAGCAAATCATCATGTAATAAAAAGCACTTGTAGAAAGAGGCAGAGAGCATAAAAATTGAAAGCTATAGATACTTTTGACAAATGAATATTAAACTGTTCTATAACATCCACTTTAGGCTAATTATCTTGCCTTTTTTAAATTTTATTTTTTATGTATAATTTCTTTGTGTGTGTGGGCGTGTGCGTGCGTGTGTACTATGAATAAATATACCCAGCAACAAGCAAAACTGATGGTTCGTTTTCTTATGATCCATCCTATCGGAAGACAAGTGATAACTGGCTTGTGACATTATGCTAGGTATAACAAACGGGCAAATTCATTTTTCAGAGAACTTTCTTGGCTTCTAGAGAGGTTCAGTCAGGATAAGACACCATCAAGCCTTGTCACTTTGGCTAGTTTTGTGAAACAGTGTTTTTCCCGTTGCCGTTGTAAGCGATGAGCTGCATGGCGATTTGTTCTTTTTTGTATTGTAGGTAATCGGCAACCAAGTGCCCTCTACATGTTGTTATATTAGATGTTTTTAGATATAAATATATGTTATGAGACTGAGCCGAAGTCCATATAATTTAAAACAAATATTAGTTCTTTCACTGAGAAGGAGGAAAAAAAAAGGAGTGCCTTAAACCTTCACCCGGCGCTCAAATAGTCAATGTGTGGCCTCATCCCTTTTGGAATCTGCGCTGAATTAGAGCCTTTTATTAAAAAAAAAATGACCTTGGCTTTCAAGCTGACAAATGTGGGTACCACGTAACATCCTGGCAATTAAGGGGCAGCCAGCGTGATGTTGACCACATCACTCTTTGAGTCCCGATTCGACTATGCAAAAATGAGTCTGGCGTCATACGTCCCATATGCCACTGTCGTTAACAGAGCCCGTTACTATTTTTTTATTTTACTTCTAAATGGCTGTAAATGTAATTACTACTACCTTAATTCTGCTCCATTCTACTTATATATTTAACATTCTCTTATTTGAACTATATCTAGGTTTTGTGGGAGCCAGCTGAGAAGTCCTGTGTTGATTGACAGAGGAAATCTGGGTGTTCACCTACCTCCTGAAGACCAAAGTGTAGATGTTCTGGTCCTGAACTAAAAATGAGTCAAACGATTAAGATCTTAGTCCTTCCTGTGCTGCTGGTTTTGGTTAGCAAGTTTGTGAAAACTGGCAATGCTGAGACTCTTGAAGATATATTTGGCTCTGCCATAGCTAGAACTGCAAAGTCTTTCACTTCTTTGGCATCAAGGTTGAAGTCAGAGGGAGTTACAAATACATCTGCCTGGAATTCTTCATGTTTAGAGTCAGAAAATAATGCAACATCTTTCTCAAAATGTCTACAGGAGTCTGCTGGGGTAAGTAGATTAGGTATGTGAATTTTAATTGGTAAATATAAGATACCATTGTTCCTTCATTTTCTAGAAAGCCATTAGAATCACAGCTAATCTTGGTCTTGGCTATTAGCCTGTGATCATCGTAAAGGCTGCCAAGCAGTAATAGATGAATATACCATCCTCCTGATCTTAAAAGATATTTCAAAATTAGTGAGAAGAATATTTCAAATAAGTTAGAGGCAAGTAGGCAAGTAAACAGCCTTGCTTTACTCCATTTTGAATTGCAAAATTCTCAGAGGTTACACAGTTAAAATTGTTTGTGTCTCTCAAGTCTGTGTGAAATGACTCAATGATAATCAATATGGTAGTTGAACGCCCAGTTTTCCTGAGCACCTTAGATAAATCTTTGCTATTTACCAAATTGAATCCCTTGGTAGGATTAATAAAAACGATGTACAGTGATGTAAACACACACCTTCGCATGCACGCCACCCCCTCCCCCACACACACACACCTTCGCATGCATGCCACCCCCTCCCCCACACACACACACCTTCGCATGCACGCCACCCCCTCCCCCCCACACACACACCTTCGCATGCATGCCACCCCCCCCCCCCCCACACACACACACCTTTGCATGCACGTCACCCCCTTCCCAACACTCACAAACCTTCGCATGCACGCAACCCCCTTCCCCCCCACACACACACACACCTCTTCGCTTGCACGCCACCCCCTCCCCCACCCACACCTTCACATGCACGCCACCCCCTCCCCCACACTCACACACCTTCGCATGCACGCCACCCCCTCCCTCCCCCCCACACACACACCTTCGCATGGACGCCACCCCCTTCCCCCACACATATGTATATAAAATTAAACTTGTGTCTGTGTATCATCTGTTTTGCTTTTGATGTTAACTTTTTTGGGGCCTTCTTTGGCTTGTTTGTTTCTTATTGCTTGCCTCTTTGGTTATTGAGCCACTTGTCTTAGAGATTTCTTGTATTTTGGGCTGAGGGTAATTTTCTTGTGAGCATTAAGGCTGCTTTTGCTGATTTTGAGCACTAGTCTTCTTCTTCTTCTTCGCGTTCACCAGCTGTAAACTCTGGCGGAAGGTTCTGGTTGCTCGTCCACTACTGAACTGCAGTCCTGCTCCAGAACCTGAGTGTTGCGTGTGCATCAGTTTTACAGATCTCATTCTCTTGAATACAGACTGTTGGTTCCTTGCCTCTCCGGCAGATGCACTCCGACTTCAAAGGAAGCTCCCCAATTAGTCGACTCTTACGACATGCTTTTGGGGAGGCAGTGGGTCTATTCTTGTTTTCCCCACAATGGGGCCCCGGAACCCACACGGGGGTTGAGCACTAGTGACTGACTTTACATCACCCATAGACAGGCATGAAATCCCGTCTCACTACCAAGCAAACCCAAATTGATCCTCACATTCCACCCTTACAGTATAGCACCAGAGTCTTCCACTACCACCTAAACAACCTTCACAAGAATTTACCTTTTTATTGTTTGATTTGTATGTGCGATAAAAGCTCCATAGCCGTAACATCCACGTTTTGTTTGTATTTGTTAAATTGTGAGGTTGCTAATATACTTTTCTTTTCGTTTTTTTTTATCTTTTCTTGATATTTTTATAGCTTCACAGCAGTTCATTAATCTCCCCCACCTCGTGTGTTCAGCCCATCCAGAACTGCTACTATCTGTTTGTACCTGTCCCACTCGTCCATATTATCCATTTATTATTCAGCTTTTTATTGTTTTATTTGTTTGTGTTGATGAAGGCTCCATAGCCGCAACGTTCATGTTTTGTTTGTATTTGTTATATTGTGAAGCTTGCTAATATACTTTTAGTTCGGTTTTATATCTTCTCTTGATATCCAGAAGAATTTAGACACCCAGAGCATCTTAAAATTAAACACCTAGAGTGCTTAACAAATGAGATCAACCAAAAACTAAATGGTAGGCTCATCAGAAGCAGACTCTGCCATTTCACACAGCACTTCCATTAGGTACTACCAAATGCTCCCATACGGTACTACCAAATGCTCCCATACGGTACTACCAAATGCTCCCATACGGTACTACCAAATGCTCCCATACGGTACTACCAAATGCTCCCATACGGTACTACCAAATGCTCCCATACGGTACTACCAAATGCTCCCATACGGTACTACCAAATGCTCCCATACGGTACTACCAAATGCTCCCATACGGTACTACCAAATGCTCCCATACGGTACTACCAAATGCTCCCATACGGTACTACCAAATGCTCCCATACGGTACTACCAAATGCCCCCATACGGTACTACCAAATGCTCCCATACGGTACTACCAAATGCTCCCATTTTAGATGTAAGGCATGTCCATTTGTAAGCCAGATCTCCTTGGTTTTGCCTCTTGACGGTTTTAAAAACTAGGGAAGCATTCGCTTGTGAATCTCACAACTAATATACAATCTTGTCTTGAGAGAATATTAAGGTTGAGCAGACCAAAACAGCTGAATACTAGTCACACACCTCACTAGAGTGTTTTGTCTGTGATGTTGTGTTGTAGGTGTTAGTAGAGCCAAGAAGATTGACTTCATTGCACCAGGTTTTGTACATATGGCTGGGTCCCTCTCCACAGAGATGCTAGCTGCCTGCCAGCATGAGCTCTGTGTTATTTCTATGTATTGTGTCTATCTGTGCTGTGTTAGTGTGAATGTGGTGCTTCTGTTGAGTCTGTCTGTATATATTGTGTCTGTGTTTGTTGATTATGTCTGTGTGTATATGTTGTATCTGTGAGAGTACGTATGCCTGTGTATGTTGTATCTGTATATGTTGTATCTGTGAGAGTATGTATGCCTGTGTATGTTATATCTGTATCTATTGATTGTGTCTGTGTGTATATGTTGTATCTGCAAGAGTATGTATGCCTGTGTATGTTATATCTGTATCATTTGATTATGTCTGTTTGTATATGTTGTATCTGTGAGAGTATGTACACCTGTATGTGTTGTATCAATGTATGTTGTTTGTGTGTATTTGATGTCTGTGTATACCTGTTATGACTCTCTGTGCTTTTTTTGTGTGTCATTGTGTGTGTGTTGGGTCTGTGTATATGCATTCTATCTATGACTATTTGTATACCTGTTTATATTGTGTGTGTGTCATCAGTGTTTGTGCCTCTGTGTATGTGTGTAAAGGTGTTGTGTATGTGCTTGTGTGTGTTTGCAATGTGTGAGCATTTGTGTATGTATGTTTGAAGGTATGTATATGTCATCCGTGCCTTTGTATTTTTACTTTGCATTCATTCTGTGAATTTAGATATATGAACATAAAATGCTTGATATATAAAATACAACAGCCATATGAAAGAATAATGCTTGAAAGGGCCAAATGTAAGACCGGCCGGCGTGCCCAATTTGTAACACTTCTGAAAAATGTTTGCTCATCATTCTTTTCTCCAGACCCTGTTTTGTCTGAAGCGTCATTGTTTGAAGAGGCAACTGATTGGAGCTTTTATATGGGTTGCTTAGATGCTTGTATTCATGGTCTTGATTATTTCCTCTGTCCATCACTTGCTTAGATGATGATAGCTCTTCTTCCATTGTCTTTGAGCGGCAGGGTTGTGTATGGTGCACTATCTTGTGATAGTATTGACCATTTGATGTGTTGTCTCTTGGCAAAGTTAACAATATTGGGTTTGGCTACCTCTTCCTTGGAAGTGAAATGAAAATTAATAGTGCAGTGGTCTGTAGGACACTGAAGTCAGTTCAAACCCTAAGCAGTGCACACCAGAAAACTAAAATTGTGAGGTCTCAGGCTAGCGGGGTTCTACCTTGCCAGGTGGGATGGGGTCTATATGGCTAAATACTCCTTGAAACTGTGACAGACCCATCAAGCTAGCAGTGCATAAGTAAAAAAAAAAAGTTAGCAAAGGACCTTTTTCCACGCCTTTCTAGGCGTATAGTGCATATATTGCTAGACCTATATTTTATAGACCAATCGGCACAAGATGGGTGATGTGGTCAGCATCACGCTGGCTACCTTTACTGCCCAGGACTGCACCTGGTACTCACTCAAGGCTGGATCAACCTAGGAGCTAAGGTCTTTTTTTTTTTTTTTTGAAGTCTGGCTCCCCCAGGGAGTAAACCCACAACCTTCCAATCTGCGGCGAGTGTCTAGCTGCTCCGCCAATGCGACTCCCTAGCAGTGCATAAGAAAACTTGAAAAAAGAAGATTTGGACTGATCCTTATGGTAAATAAACACTGATTGTTAATGGACTTTGAGGCAGCTATGGTGTGGAGTAATATTTCTATAATTTATTTGTGTTTGCATTTGTCTTGTTACTTCTCGCATGTTTGGTCTCAGCAATAATTCAAATACTGTTCAATCCATGACAGTCATGCTTGAGTTTGCAAGATATCAGCAGACTCTACAACATCACTCCGAGCCAGAACCTCTCCAAGGAGGCTGTAGCCAGCCTGTCACTTGCACTCATTTACTCCATCCTCTCCTGTGAGAGTCAGCGAGAAAGGAACTCTAATGACTCTGAGAAGGAAACTGAGAAAAGTGCACCACCCAGCTCTTACGCTTGTGAGTTGATCATTTCTTCATGAATTATTTGCTTATTTAGTTTACTTTTGGATGTAAAATTGTTTTTAAATTTAGCTGCTGATCTTGTTTAAGGTTTGTTTAATTGTTGAATTATGTCAATAAAAAAAAAAAAAAAAATTTACTGCTGTAAAATTTGTGACCAGCATTTGGTTGTGGTTGAAAAAAAATTAATAGTTTGTTTAAAACTGTTGCACACACTGTAGCACTTTTAAGAACTGTTATAAGTTAGAAAAACAGTAAGTTAGACAAAAAAAGTAAAGGGCTTCTTATCATGCTTTTTGGGCGTATAGAGCATATAGGGCTAGATGTATGTTTTATAGACAAAGCAGCACAAGATGGATGATATGATCAGCATCACGTCAGCCGCCTTTACTTCCCAGGACTGCACCTGGTACCCACTCAAGGCTGGGTTGACCTGGGAGCCTAGGTCTTTTTTGAAAAACGTCCGGCTTCGCCAGGTAGCGAACCCATGACATTCCGATCCGCAGGCGGGCGTCTAACCGCTTAGCCACGGCGACTCCCAGAAAAACAGTATTTAAAAAAAAAATAAACAGTAATCTCTATATAGTCCAGTAATAAGCTAGATTAGTTTAATAGGATATTGTTGCAATTGGTGTGTCTGTGTGTGTATACACACACAGATTATTATTATTTCATTTGCCTGTCTTTTCTTCCGTGTTGTCTTATTTTTACTCTCATCAGTGAATCTTTACAAATTTATGAAAGATGGAAGGGATTTATATAGTCTTGATGATATGTACAAAGACAGCAAGTGAAATGGTTTGCCCACTTAGAGAGAATGCCTTGTGACAACATACCATACAAAGCATACATGGAAAGAGAAGAAGGACGTAGAGCACGGGGTAGACCAAGAACAAGATGGAAGGATAACATCAGAGAAACTCTACAACAGCACGATGTGCCTATGGTCGAGGCAGCCAGAAGAGCTAGAAACAGAACCTTATATCTCCCTCGACACCCACAGCAGTAAAAGAGGAAGTGAAGAAGAAGAAGAAGAAGAAGATGATATGTATTGTGAAAATACACTACAACAGTACAGTGTGAAATATCACTCACAAGTCATTCAAATGGAAATGTGATAAGAGAAGCTGAAGCAGATTAAGCCAAGTAGTGCTCTGGAATATCTGGCTCAAAGTGCTTTATTGAAACTTCTAGACCTAGCAAGCCAAGCTGGCAATGTATTAAATTGCTGGTAGAATCAATTGAAGAATAAATAGAATACACGCATTTTGTAAATAATGTGAAATTGTTAATGGATTTGCCTATTAATCATTGTGCATTCAGAACAAAGTAGTGATTCTTTTAGAAGTCTCATAAATTATTCATTCATAAGTAGTGAAAAAAAAAACTGAAAAGGGTTATGAGAAGCAGAAGAGTAGGAACAAGAACAGACTGCATGAAAAGTATACTGTTTCCATTATATCCACCAGTTGGCTTCAGCACTCCACCAAATTGCTTCACTCCACAAGATAGCTCAAACACTCCACAATTTGGCTTCAGCACTCCACCAAATTGCTTTACTCCACAAGATAGCTCAAACACTCCACAAATTAGCTTAAGCACTCCACCAAATTGCTTTACTCCACAAGATAGCTCAAACACTCCACAAATTAGCTTCAGCACTCCACCAAATTGCTTCACTCCACAAGATAGCTCAAACACTCCACAGGTTGGCTTCAGCACTCCACCAAATTGCTTCACTCCACAAGATAGCTCAAACTCTCCACAAGTTGGCTTCAGCACTCCGTCAAATTGCTTTACTCCACAAGATAGCTCAAACTCTCCACAAGTTGGCTTCAGCACTCCACCAAATTGCTTTACTCCACAAGATAGCTCAAACACTCCACAAATTAGCTTAAGCACTTCACCAAATTGCTTTACTCAGCAAGATAGCTCAATCACTCCACAAGTTGGCTTCAGGGCTTCACCAAATGGCTCAGGCTCTCCACTTAAGAGCCCCATAATGTTTTTTTATGTTAACACCAACATATAAGTGTTATTTTACTCTATTCCTTAAGGGTAGAAAAGAATTGTTATTTTCATTTAAACCGTCATTATATAAGAGTGCTGTTTTCTTCCAAACAGTAAAACAGGATCAGAATGAGAGAAAAATCTAACGTGTAACTGTTTCTGTTATGTATTTAGGATCAGAATGAGAGAAAAATCCAAGTTGTAACCATCTCTGTTATCTGTTTAATTGCTCTCTATGGCTGACCTTTGATTCTAGCATGGGGCTACACCTTTCTGTTTGTGACCCTGATCAACCTGTGCTCGCTGACTGGGGCTGTGGTCCTGCCGTGTATGAAGCTGAAGAGTTACAAGTTGGTGCTGATGTTCATGGTAGCGCTGGCTGTGGGAACATTAGCAGGCAGTGGACTGTTGTTTCTGATCCCAGAGGTAAGACGGCTGTAGTTAATTCTCCACTGGTTTCATGTCCTTGGTTGTTGGTAAGATGTTAATGGCTGCTTCATCACCGTACTATCTTCTTCTTCTTCGCATTCACCAGTTCTGGTTGTTCATCCACTACTGAACTGCAGTCCTGCTCCAGAACCTAGGTGTTACGTGTGCATCCGTTTTACAGATCTCATTCTCTTGAATACAGACTGTTGGTTCCTTGCCTCTCCGGCAGATGCACTCTGACTTCAAAGGAAGCTCCCCAATTAGTCGACTCTAATGACATGCTTTTGGGGAGGCAGTGGGTCTATTCTTGTTTTCCCCTACAATGGGGCCCCGGAACCCACACGGGGGATCATCGTCCTCTGATTTATTGATTGTGGGGAAACGGGTAACCATGTTTATTACATTTCTTTCAAAAGAGTTATTTCCATCTGGGTTCCTGGGCTTTGGGGAGGGGGGAGGGGATGGACTCGCTGCACTCCAACAAGCATGTCGTAAGAGTCGACTAATTAGGGATGTTTCTTTCAAAGTACGTCTGCCTGAGAGGTGAGGAACCAACAGTCTGCTTACAAATAAGCCAGATCTGTAAAGTGGATATGTGCGCAAAACTCATGTTCTGATGAACGACCAAAACTTTCTGCCAGAGTTTACAATCGTTCGATGCGAAGAAAAAGGTTCCATTGAGCAATTAGATGCTTTTGGTAACATTAAGAAATTTGGTAGCAATCCTTGGAGGCCAATCTTAGAAACCTCTTAAACCCACATTGTTATAATGGTCTTCTGCATACTCAAATCACTGTTTCCTATACCCGCTTATGATGAGGGTGCAGACAAAAAAAAAATAAGATAGTGTCAGGTCAGGAGAATATAGTGGATGTTCCATAGAAGTTAGATTATGCATTGCGAGGTATGTAGAGATTGATTGAGTAAGTGATTTCCTGCTCGTGAATCATCATTTACACTGACATGATTTTCACCAAATTGCTAAATGTCCTGTTATCCATGTTATATTGGTCAGCCTGAACCCTTTCGCTGCTATGGACGTCTTTTCCTGATTTCCCATACGCTGCTACGCCCCTCTTTGGACGTTATTTTTTTTCTTGACACCCAGTGCTATGGACGTCCCAAGCCGTTTTTGGACTTTTCTTACAGATTTCTGTTACCTCCTATTTTATTGGCTGAAGGGCAATATATATTAGCCATATTTAGATTAAACTGACCCATTTACATATGATTAAAAGCACTGGCACGTGCTTTTAGGTGTGTTTACTGCATTCTACGTTATCGCGTTGCTTTGTTTACCGTGACAGCGTGGGTGGTGATATGTGTACTTTGTGACCTTATATATATTTATGCTTTTGGATTATTCTACACTTAGTACAAAATGGCAAGAAAACTTGGTAAAGTTGATGAAGAATTGATGGAGTTTCTGTCAAGGAGTGATAGCGAAGATGACTTTGAAATGTGAACTTCTGACAGTGAACAAGAAGATTTGAGTAGGCCATCAATATCGACTGCTGAAACTGGCGTGTCGGAGAAAAAGCTGTTTGCCTGTCTGACGTCCTCATCATCGGAATCAGAGAGCAGCGACAATGAAGCGCCATCAAAACGGCAATAAATTGATCGTTATCTTGAAGAACCGATGCTTTTAAACCAGTAGTGCATGATTTTGATGACTCCAGCTCTATCTGTATTTCTGCTACTGTAAATTCAAACAGTTAAGTCACTAAAATTTCTCGTCTTTCCCGATGGACAGACACAGATTCGGACAAACTAATTTTTTTTTTCTGTCTGTCTGCTAATGCTTAGAACAAAGAAACTCAATATAGAGTACTTGAGAAAAGACTGTTTGCTAAAAACTCCCGTGAAATAATGTCGAGGGACAGATTTTTACTATTGTTGAGAATCTTAAACATTTCTCAGACAACAGTGCTCATGCAGGCGGCGATAGACTACAAAATTAGACACATTATTGATAGTCTTCGCACATCATTCATTATCTTTATTCACACAGCACTATGTGTCAAGCGGTAGTATAGTGTAGTTGGTATCACGTCCGTAGGGTCGTGTGTTCAACCCCCTAATTTTTTTTTTTTTATTATTATTGTAAATTTTCCTTTCAGTTCCTGCTACTTTTCAGCAACGGATGACTTAAGTATTATTATTATTATTATTATTTTGGTATGTAATAACATGGTGACTACAAATAACTATGATTAACGTGGGAGCCGTGGTAGGTTCGTCAATCAAATTTTGGGATACAGACTGGGAACAGTTCTTCCCATTAATTCCCCACCCCACCACCCCCAGGGGGTTGATGGCTTCGTTAGTCAAGTTTGTGGGGCACCATCGTGCCTATGACTTGTCACCACTCGGACCAACCACACAACTCCCCAGGGTAAAAATATTTTAGGTCTACAAAATATAGCCCTCACCGCCGACGCATCTTTTGCGTTTGGAGAATAGAAAAGTATTGCGCACAGCAGAGACTTTTTTTTTCCACATTGCTTAGCACAGGGCAGACAGCTATTTCCGGGAACGTAGCAGCGAAAGGGTTAAACCCCAGACTAGTTATACAAATCCACCATATGGTTCTAGCCTATTACTGCTAGGCCAACAGGAAGTGTTCAGTCCATGACATTACTACTGCTCCCAATGTGTATAAATGTTTGTGTATAAATTTGCCTTGATTAGCAAGTTATGATTGAGGTGCTGCTGGCTGAAGAGAAACAGCGAGCTGAATGTTTAAGGATGCTGGGCTTTCATGCGGAAGATCCAGGTTTGAATCTTTTTTCTTTCTTTTTAGGTTCTAGTTGTTTTTTTTTCTGTCAGAGTAAAACTAAAATCCGAACCAGCACAGTTGGTAACAACACTAGCTATCTAAATCCTCTGGCTCAAAGACACTGAAATGACACCTACACCAGAAAAGTGATAAATACAGGCAGTAGTTGGCAGTTTTTCATTTGTTATCATTATGTCTTTACATAACAGACACACACATCGTGATTGTAACTGACTCAGAAAGCATGCTGAGGAAGGTGAGGACAAGCATGCTTCGTGCAGAATAGCATACTTTGTTGCAGAGGTCACCGCTGAGGAGTATTGTCTAGATCTTTTCACGGCAACTGGCTGGTGCATTGGGATATGAACCGGTGGACGGACTGGCTGGACCTGCACAGCTTGGTGGAATATTGATGCATGATAAGGCATGGTTAGGGCCATGGGTGAACAATTCAGAGGAGCAGATGAATCACCACAGTCTGGTGAGACTGATGCAGCGGGAGTGACGAGGGGTTCTGGCCGATGCTCGACACTCAGAGGAAAGGCAAGATAGACATTTAATCAGAATGCTACTGGCACCATCAGTATTGGAACTCTGCGCTGGCTGCTGAAGATAGAAACGGAGCGCTTATGGGAATGCCCTGAGTGCTGTGATGTCGGTTCTTGAATCAACTCAACTCTATTATGTCTTTTTGAATTGCAAATTATTATTGCAATATAGGAATGCCTACAGTTCTAACTGTAATCTCCTCTCCAGGCATTCAGACTGGTGCATGATGAAGACTCTGGCTATATATGGAAAGCCACATCCATCATGGGCGGCATCTACCTGTTCTACCTGACAGAGAAAATCATGAGAATGATCAACTCAAGAAGAGAGGTCAGGAGTAGTTTTGTTGATGATCTTGTCCCAAAACAACATTATTGTGGGTACCTTTACATTATTTCAGATGGCATTGTTATATTGTGCTGTAAGGAGGTATTGAAAACACAGCCCATGGTGATAGGCAAGGAAGGTCAAGGAGGGAGTTCCTACTCTCCGTAGCACAAAGCCTGGGCAGTATTGAAGAGACTGTGTTTCCTGTCATCTCTCACTCAACCTGCCTTGTGTACTCCAGAGCAAAAGTAACACCAGCAGTTTACATTCTGACATTTGCTAAAAAAAGGACATTTATGTTTCAACATTTGCTAAAAGAGACAGGACATTTGATTTGTGACATTTGCTAGAAGAGACAGGGCGTTTACATTCTGACATTTGCTAGAGGAGACATGGCGTTTACATTCTGACATTTGCTAGAAGAGACATGGCGTTTACATTCTGACATTTGCTAGAGGAGACATGGCGTTTACATTCTGACATTTGATAGAGGAGACATGGCGTTTACATTCTGACATTTGATAGAGGAGACATGGCGTTTACATTCTGACATTTGCTAGAAGAGACATGGCGTTTACATTCTGACATTTGCTAGAGGAGACATGGCGTTTACATTCTGACATTTGATAGAGGAGACAGGGCGTTTACATTCTGACATTTGCTAGAGGAGACATGGCGTTTACATTCTGACATTTGATAGAGGAGACATGGCGTTTACATTCTGACATTTGATAGAGGAGACATGGCGTTTACATTCTGACATTTGCTAGAGGAGACATGGCGTTTACATTCTGACATTTGCTAGAGGAGACATGGCATTTACATTCTGACATTTGATAGAGGAGACAGGGCGTTTACATTCTGACATTTGCTAGAGGAGACATGGCGTTTACATTCTGACATTTGATAGATGAGACATGGCGTTTACATTCTGACATTTGCTAGAGGAGACATGGCGTTTACATTCTGACATTTGCTAGAAGAGACATGGCGTTTACATTCTGACATTTGCTAGAGGAGACATGGCGTTTACATTCTGACATTTGATAGAGGAGACATGGCGTTTACATTCTGACATTTGCTAGAGGAGACATGGGGTTTACATTCTGACATTTGCTAGAAGAGACAGGGCGTTTACATTCTGACATTTGCTAGAAGAGACAGGGCGTTTACATTCTGACATTTGCTAGAAGAGACATGGCGTTTACATTCTGACATTTGCTAGTAGAGACATGGCGTTTACATTCTGACATTTGCTAGAAGAGACATGGCGTTTACATTCTGACATTTGCTAGAAGAGACAGGGCATTTACATTCTGACATTTGCTAGAAGAGACAGGGCATTTACATTCTGACATTTGCTAGAAGAGACATGGCGTTTACATTCTGACATTTGCTAGAGGAGACATGGCGTTTACATTCTGACATTTGATAGAGGAGACAGGGAGTTTACATTCTGACATTTGCTAGAGGAGACATGGCGTTTACATTCTGACATTTGATAGAGGAGACATGGCGTTTACATTCTGACATTTGATAGAGGAGACATGGCGTTTACATTCTGACATTTGCTAGAGGAGACATGGCGTTTACATTCTGACATTTGCTAGAGGAGACATGGCATTTACATTCTGACATTTGATAGAGGAGACAGGGCGTTTACATTCTGACATTTGCTAGAGGAGACATGGCGTTTACATTCTGACATTTGATAGAGGAGACATGGCGTTTACATTCTGACATTTGCTAGAGGAGACATGGCGTTTACATTCTGACATTTGCTAGAAGAGACATGGCGTTTACATTCTGACATTTGCTAGAGGAGACATGGCGTTTACATTCTGACATTTGATAGAGGAGACATGGCGTTTACATTCTGACATTTGCTAGAGGAGACATGGGGTTTACATTCTGACATTTGCTAGAAGAGACAGGGCGTTTACATTCTGACATTTGCTAGAAGAGACAGGGCGTTTACATTCTGACATTTGCTAGAAGAGACATGGCGTTTACATTCTGACATTTGCTAGTAGAGACATGGCGTTTACATTCTGACATTTGCTAGAAGAGACATGGCGTTTACATTCTGACATTTGCTAGAAGAGACAGGGCATTTACATTCTGACATTTGCTAGAAGAGACAGGGCATTTACATTCTGACATTTGCTAGAAGAGACATGGCGTTTACATTCTGACATTTGCTAGAGGAGACATGGCGTTTACATTCTGACATTTGCTAGTAGAGACATGGCGTTTACATTCTGACATTTGCTAGAAGAGACAGGGCATTTACATTCTGACATTTGCTAGAAGAGACAGGGCATTTACATTCTGACATTTGCTAGAAGAGACATGGCGTTTACATTCTGACATTTGCTAGAGGAGACATGGCGTTTACATTCTGACATTTGCTAGAAGAGACATGCCGTTTACATTCTGATATTTGCTAAAAGAGACAGGGCGTTTACATTCTGATGTTTGTTAATTAAGACAGTACACATACTAATATGACCTGGGTGTATTGACGTTGATTTTAGTTAATAATGAATACAATTGGACCCCTGCTAGTAATGCATTGGCTAGAGGCTTGTTTGCTTGCCTAAAGGTCTTGTGTTCAAATCCAAAGCAGGAGAGATTTAGAAATAATTGGCTCTCCGACCTACCAAGCCTTAATTTGATATAGGGATATGTCCTGGGAAGTCTAGGTGGTCTGCGTGAGGTTACTAATTTACCCATTGAATGCCATTTGGTTTATAAAACTGTCATCACACCTCTGCGGTTAAGCATTGTGGGAAGGAATAATTTGCAGTTCAGTGCATGCTGACTGAAAGCGTAATATGTCTTAATTTTGTCTGTCCTTCTTTTGCGGCCATCCTCTTGCTGTTGTAGCTGATCTTCTGAAATGTGGTGCCCATGATGGTATTTCATGTGGCCAAGCCACTTGATCTGCTGTTTCCGGATAAATCTAGCAGGATGTATCATTCCTGCAGTCTGTCTCGCATATCATTATTCGCTCGATCTCATTTGGTTCGGTTGGCGGGTTTTCCCAGACTATATGTAACCTTATGTGTTTTTTTTTGCCACAGGTGTCAAAGGGTCCTTTACATTACTTTTACTTATCAGTAAAATAGCTGTCAATATTTCAAAATGTCCTTTACATTACTTTTTCTTATCAGTAAAATAGCTGTCAATATTTCAAAAGGTCCTTTACATTACTTTTACTTATTAGTGAAATCACTGTCAAAATGTCAAAGGGTCCTTTACATTACTTTTACTAATTATTGACATAGCTGTCAATGTTTCAAAGGTTCCTTTACATTACTTTTACTAATTATTGACATAGCTGTCAATGTTTCAAAGGTTCCTTTACATTACTTTTACTAATTATTGACATAGCTGTCAATGTTTCAAAGGGTCCCTTACATTACTTTTACTAATCAGTAAAATAGCTGTCAATATGTCAAAGGTTCCCTTATATTACTTTTCTAATCAGTGAAATAGCTGTCAGTATGTCAAAAACCACAATAATAAGATTTGTTTGTTATGAAATTTAGTACTTAGTGATCTCATTATAATATCACCTATCAACACAGGAAAATCTGGCTCTGTCACACGTTTGCACAACTTTGCCAAGTCTATAAATGCATGTGTATATGTGATGATGATAGATACATTTGATTGCTGATGGAATCCTGAGACATGTAATTCTTTAACATGTTATTTTCTGTAGTAAGTAAGTAAAGGTAAAGTAAAGGTAAAGTAAAGGTAAAGTAAAGGTAACATAAAAGTAAAGGTAAAGTAAAGGCAAAGTAAAGGTAAAGTAAAGGACCCTTTCATGCCTTTAGGCATATAGGGCTGGACCTATATTTTTATTGACCAATCGGCACAAGATGGGTGATGTGGTCAGCATCGTGCCGGCCGCCTCTACTTCCCGGAACTGCACCCGGTGCCCACTCAAGGCTTGGTCGACCTGGGAGCCAAGGTCATGTTATTTTTCTGTGCTAAAGAAATTTAGACATAACCAGAATGTCTTTACACTGAAACCCACAGAGTCATAGAGGTAAAGGCAGACAAAAAAAACACACACAGAGAAGGGAAGTAGATAGATAGGTTAAATTAATAGGGAGGAAATGGGTTCAACTACATGAGGTAGCAAAGCAAAGAACAACTTGGCGTCAGACGGTTGAAGGCCTATGCTCCATTAGGAAATAAAGGGAAGAAGAAGAAGAAAAGAAATTTATAATAGAGGTTTTTAACTGACTTGTTCTCCTTTGTTTTCTTCTCAAAGAACACCAGTTTGAAAAAACAAAGAGATGAAATGGCCACAAAGGATACAATCACAACTTCCTTCCGACGTGTCCCTTTAGACAACTCTCTTCCAGGGAAAGATGCATCACAGATTGCTGAAAGTATAGGAGGGATCTGCAGCTCTCAGTTACGCTCTCATTCCAGTTTTAATTCAAGTGTTAGCGAGATTGCACATCCACTCAGCTTCAAGACAGATGAGGAGGATGTTGGTGACACTGAACTTACAATTTCTACTCTTGATAATTGTGTTTGGGTAAGAAACTGGTGAACTTCTAGCATTTTGTTTCTATCTTTTTTCTTCGACGCTGAATTGTATGAGGTATCAGTCACATGCATACAGAGATTGATAAGGTAGAGCTCTTTGTATGCTAGGGTAGCAGCAGTGGCAGTTTCAGAGGTTTAGGGTTCAAACACATCTTGGCAGATTTTGAAAAAAAGAAATGTTGACCCTAGCTTTCAGGTTGACCCTACCTTGGGCACCAGGTGATATCATGGGAAGTAAAGGCAGCTTCTGTGAAGTTTACATCATCATCTGAATGCCAATTGGTCTATAAAATATGAGTTTATGCCCGATATGTTTTACTGGTGTCAAAAGTGAATTTTACCTTCTATGCTGGGCTAATGTGAAAAAATGTGTGCTGAGACTCTTTGAGTCCCAAGGAACACTTCATACGTTCATTGATTCCTACCTAGAAGCCCAATGAACGCAAGATGCACCGATTTTACGCCTTTTTTGACCACCCCTTGGGCCTGTGATGCTAAACCCCCTGGGACTCAAATAGTTAAACCACACACAAACATTTAAACAAAATCAATTCCAAGCCCTAATAATCGACCTTCATGTGAACATTTTGCCTTTGTTATCTGTTGATTAGCCAGTCATTTATGTTGAGTTTATTTTTAAAATGTAATGTTGCATAAGAGAGGAGCGGTTGGCCACAGGGTTAAGAATGCTGGGCTCTGATGTAGGAGACCGAGGTTGAAATCTTCAGTAAGGTTATGGTGTTTCTGTCTAGGGCAAAAATATCATCCTTACCTGTCCATGGCAGTTGCGCTAGCCATGTGGCGCTAAATCCTTAGGTTCAAATATCCTGTTCCCTGAACTTAAAAAGTGGTAAATACATGCAATGATTGGTAGTTTTTGATGATGCATATACAGTGTTGTTCTCAGGAAAAAACTAAAGATTTGTTTAGTTTCATTTAATGTTTGTAAACATTTTGTTAAGGACAGCCAGATCTGGCAGCACTTGTTATTAATGGTCTGTTCTGTCACTGCAGGAAAAGTCCCCATGCAACGGCAATGGACACAGTCATAATCACTACCATCTAGACTCGTCATCGGAGATAGCACCTGTAGCATACATGATCATCTTTGGAGATGCTCTGCACAATTTCATTGATGGCTTGTCCATTGGGTCCGCATTCACACAAAGTATCATGACAGGGGTTAGTGTTAGCGTGGCTGTCATGTGTGAAGAGCTGCCTCACGAACTTGGTAAGTTGCGATAATCTTTTTTTTTCTTTTCTCATCAGATATATTTTCCCTTGCAATAATAAATGTCTTGGCATTTTCTCCCCACGTATCAAGCGAAGGGAATATATTTAACTCTCTGCCTGCTAAGTTTATATGTAATAGCACTAACCACTGCACTATTTCATCAGAATACAGTTCTGAATATTACACTCCAAATTCATTTTACATGACAAAAAGTAATATTGGCCCAATATGGATCTTACTGTAAATAAATAAGGTTGGTAGCTACTAACATTAGCAAATGCATTATAAAAAGAAGGAGATTAATATTTTTAGTCAAGCACAACATCCAGTATGGCAATGGAAAATACCTGTACACTGTAACAATTAAATTGTTTTTAAATTTTAGTTTAGTACAAAATATTGCCACAACTGCATCCACCATGCATAGTTTAAATATATATACCGAAAAATACTAAATCGGCTACTCCGCATTTTGTCTGTTGCTGTCAGTATCCATCAAATAAGCTGGGGTGGGGTGGAGATCTGTAATACAAACTTATCTTGGTCTTCTTTATGTCGCAGGGGACTTTGCTATCCTGCTTAACTCAGGAATGCGGTTTCGGAAAGCTCTCATGTACAACTTCCTGTCGGCTTGCACGTGCTACATTGGCAGTTTTATAGGCATTATTCTTGCTGAGAACACAGCGTCACACGAGTGGATCTTTGCTATAGCTGGAGGCATGTTTCTCTACATTTCACTGGTTGATATGGTAAGTGAACAGTGTGTTGCTCAAATGTTAAGTCTGTTCATGGCATGCTTCCTGTGTGGGTTCCTGGGCCCCCTTGTGGGGGAGGGGGGGGGGGAAAGAAGAGACCCACAGACTCACTGCCCCATAACAAGCATGTCATAAGAGTCTGCTATTTAGGCATGTTTCCTTCAAAGTCAGAGTGCATCTACCTGAGAGATCAGGAACCAATAGTCTGCATACAAATAACCCAGGTCTCTAAAACGGATGTGCACACACAATTTAGCTTCTGGAACAAGACCAAACTTCAGGATTAACCAAACAACCAGAACTGTCCACCGGAGTTTACAACCAGTGAGCATCAAGAAGAGCCAGTTATTGGCATCCTGATAATTTCCAAAATTTTATGAGAAATAAAGTCAGTAAGATCTCATGGGAAATCCCCACTGTTATTCTTCTTGATCTGTTATTGTCTTAAATATATTTGTCTGTTTTTTAAAACTGATTTGTATTTAGACTTTTGATGTTGTATTTACTAAATCATGTGTCTTTATTTTCTTGTCATCATTGTTCTTACTCAGCAGAACATTATAATCAGCAAAGTCTAAATCTGTGTGCTTGCTCTACATCTAGTCATTGTCAGTATTTCCTGTCTAGTCATTGTCAGTATTTCCTGTCTAGTCATTGTCAGTATTTCCTGTCTAGTCATTGTCAGTATTTCCTGTCTAGTGACTGTCAGTATTTCCTGTCTAGTCATTGTCAGTATTTCCTGTCTAGTCATTGTCAGTATTTCCTGTCTAGTCATTGTCAGTATTTCCTGTCTAGTCATTGTCAGTATTTCCTGTCTAGTCATTGTCAGTATTTCCTGAACAACATTTCAGCATGACCTATATATTTAACAGTCTTATTTCTTGGACATGCAAAAGAAACCTAACCACCTGTTAGATGAGATGTTTGAGAATGGCTGCAAATAAAACCAGAAGAGATTGAGTGAGAAATGATATGATCACAAGAACTGTTGGAACAATACTCATTGTCAAATTATTGAGAAACAGATAATGAAATAGTTTGGCCATCTAAGGAGAATGAAACCAACGATGCCAGCAGCAAGAGCGTACAACCTGAAAATCAAAACACCAAGAGGCTGGGGGAAGACCGAGAAAAAGATGGAATGAGCGAGTCACTGCCACTTTGCGACTGCATAACATCACGGCATATACAGCGACTGACGGGGCCCTGACTCAGCTGCCTATTATCTGATGAACTGGGAAGCCTGGCGGCATAAGCAGATATTGTCAAAAGAAGAAGAATCGTGAAGTATGAGAGGTATTTGTCCTTTTTCTTTAGCATCTAAAGCTTTCTCCTTCTGTGTTCACCTTGAAAAGGGTGACTGTCATGTTGTGTTATTGTTTTTAGCTAGGCTGCGATATCTTTGATTTTTTCATCGCAATATATCTGATTTCTTTGTTATCATCTTGCTGGTCAATTATAGGGCTCACAGTTTATTCTACCACTTCTGTGCATTTATTTCATTATCCTTAATGGAATCCAGTCAAGTGCCTTGTTTTCTCTCATCAAATTTGTTTTAGAATACGAAGCCATTTTGGCAGATCTGATTTCCATAAACACTTTTTCTTAGCTTTCACCAGCTTTAAACTCCGGGCAGAAAGTCCTGGCTGTTCATCCACTTCCGGACTTTGGTCTTGTTCCAGGAATTGAGTGTTGCGTGTACATCCATTTTAAACCTCTGGCTTGTTTATTTGCATACTGTTGTTCTCTTTACCTCTCAGGCGCACCCAGACTTTAAAAGGAATCAAAAACATAATTAGTGGAATAGGCGTAGTTATCTATTGACCTTAATATTTTACACTTAACAATGTGATCTAATTATTCACCAGATGCCCGAAATGAACACTGCTGCAGAATCCAAAGAAGGAAAGCAGTTTGGAGAAATGAAAACTTTTCTTTTACAAAACTGTGGACTTGCTACTGGCTATTCTATCATGCTGATCTTTGCTTTATATGGCGGGAACATAAGTTTTGGATAGATCTGTGTTATCTGTTTGTTAACTTTGAAATATTGGAAGAATCTGTATTATCTGTTTGTTAACTTTGAAATATTAGAAGAATCTGCATTAGCTGTTCATTAACTTTGAAATATTAGAAGAATCTGCATCAGCTGTTTGTTAACTTGGAGATTTTAGAATAATCTACATCAGCTGTTTGTTAAATTTGAAGTATTAGATGAATCTGTATCAGCTAATGGTTAACTTTGAAATATTAGAAGAATCTGCATCAGCTGTTTGTTAACTTTGAAATATTAGAAGAATCTGCATCAGCTGTTTGGTAACTTTGAAATATTTGAAGAATCTGCATCAGCTGTTTGTTAACTTTGAAATATTAGAAGAATCTGCATCAGCTGTTTGGTAACTTTGAAATATTTGAAGAATCTGCATCAGCTGTTTGTTAACTTTGAAATATTAGAAGTGTGATGACCCTGCTTTGCATGGTCTCCACGAGTACATTGTGGCAAGCAGGAAGTCCGTGCTACAAGTGACGGCACGAGATACTCCTGATCGACTGACCACGAGGCTAGCTCGGGCTTCGCCTCGCTTACTCTACCGGCCACAAGTATCTCGTGCCGTCACTTGTAGCACAGACTTCCTGCTTGCCACAATGTACTCGTGGAGACCATGCAAAGCAGGGTCATCACAAGAAGAATCTAGATTAGAAATCGTTTTTGAACTAGGAGGACACTGCAGGCTCAGCCTTCACAGTTCCCATGGTATGCATGTCAGACAGGACCATGAACACCTGAGAACATTCTGCAGGCTGTACTTACAACTGTGAAGAAAAACTAGGCCTCAAGAGCAGAGTAAACTATGGCAGGCCATGGAGGACATGCAGCTGGTATATGAGTTCATAGAGGCACCCACTGGACTGTCTGACGAGCATAGGCACCCACCTGACTGTCTGATTTGAGCATAGGTACCCACCTGACTGTCTGACTTGAGCATACAAAACCAAATGCCAAGAAGAAAAACTTTGACACTTAAATGAAAATTGCACTTCAGGAACTTTGACAAACACCATCGATGTTTGCATGCAAATTATCTTTTGCTAACATTTGTGTATTTAACAACTAAATGTTTTCTTGCTAATGTTTGCGCATTAATTTGTTGTTGTATTTTGTTTTTGTTAGTGCTTGGGGTTGTTTATACAAATATATATATCTTTTATACCTTATTTAAATAATGCGGACACAAACAATACATTGCAAAATTTATTGCCAGGCATATTTCGCTGTATCTCGTCAGGTGCGTTACTACAGAGTTACATAAACATAAAATAAAGCACAAAACTTAATAAGTCCAATGGAAAGGCGAATATTTTCTTCCGAAACATCGTGTGTGTTTTTTTGCTGCCGGAAACTCACTGTAGTCACGTGACTTACCAGGGTAACTTCAAATTTACAATAAATTCCATCTTCTTACAAAGGAGGGGTTTGTTGATTTTAATTGTTTAAGCTTTGGCCATTCTCAACAGTCTCCTGTAGACCACATGGAAAGCAACTGTCTGTATCAATTATGTGTCCTGAATTAAGAAGATGACATCCTATGGAAGAAGCAAGTTTTTTCCTCTTGACCGGTCTCCACAGCCTTGAAGAATCACTGAGCTGTGTATGTAGCCATTTTGGGTATGTGCTCTGCCACTCTATTTCCAAGCTCTTGACTAATGTAAGCCAATTTGGTGTACGGAAAAACGAGCTGTTTAATAGGTGGGGTTGGGATAGGAGTGGTCTTGTACATCACTACTGGAACAGCCGCAAAGAATGTTTGGCCAACAGCTGTTTTCAGTTGGTCCTGCAGATGCTGCATGACGTCATCACCTCGATAAGTCAGTTGGATAAATACTCGTAGTCTGGATACTGTAATTTTGTTTGGGGTAGGGTTGGGTTTTAATTTCTGCAGCCAGTGTGTCTTCGGTGCAAATCTTTCTGGCTCGGTTGAACAAGCTTCTAACTACGCTACATTTGTACTGAATAGGTACAAAACTAAAAGTTTAGATACTGGCCAGACCATGTTTTCATTTCGGTACACTGTTCTTTGGATACTGCCATCCTCTCTACATGCAATAAATACATCAAGGAATGGTAAAGTACCGTCATGTTCGCATTGTAACGATAATGTGATGTTTCTGTGTGACTGGTTCATGGTGGTATGGAACGCAGTGGCTTGCTGTTTGTCAGCATTTATTATTAGAATGTCATCTACATACCAAATCTACAAAACCAAATCCCTGATGTGGGCAGATCTGCGGTTTTTGAGATGTGCCATGAAGATGTCGGCCAAGATAGGACCTTAGGGGCTACCCATGGCTACTCCGTCAATTTGGCAGTAGCTCGTTTCAAGGAAATTAAATTTAATGTTAGCGGTGCAGAGGCGCAGCAGTCTCACCAATGTAGACGTAGTAATATCCAGTTTTAGTTTCTTATCCTTTGTTTGAACAATTATAATTTTGATGGTTTCTTCCAACGGCACATTGGTGAACAACGATATGTCCATAGAAGCCAATTTAAAACTTACCCTGGTAAGTCATGTGACTACGGTGAGCTTCCAGCGGCCAAAAAACACGCGCGATGTGTCGGAAGCAACTATTCACATTTCAATTGGATTTATTCAGTTTTGTGCTTCATTTTATGTTCATGTAACTCTGTAGTAACACACCTGATGAGATACAATCGAAATATGCCTGGCAATAAATTGTGCAATGTATGTATTGTTTGTGTCCTCATAATTTAAATTCATTACGGGGAAAACATTGTTTTATATTTTTTATTGATGCATTTTAGTTTTTCAAGATCTGAGGTGTTTTATGGGTATATTATTGTAACGGCAAATGAGGATAACGTTAATTTTCACAGTATTGAATTTCAGCATATTTTATTGATAGCATGCATTAATATGTATTATACCTCTTGATAGATGGGCATGACTGGTATCAAGTTATAATTGCCAGATACATTTTTTAAATTGTTTCTTAAGAGTGTTTATCCTTAAAAGGGTGTTTGTCACATTTCATTGTTTACAGTTAGGTTGCTATGACTACACCTTTCAGCTCTACACATCCAGTGTCAGCAAACCTGTAAATTATGCTAGTAAACACCCCCCCCCCCCCTCTCTCAATGTAGGCCCTGAAGCCAACACAATTGGGGGTAGGGGGTGAAACCAAAATATTTGATTACATGTCACTATTGTATTGTGTTGTAATTAGTAATATCATGTTTAACCCTTGTAGATTATACCAGTCCCATTTAAAGTTAATTTGTTTCCAGCTCATTAAAATGTATGACTGCATGGTAGCATTTATAGAATGAACAGAGTTGAGTTAGATTTATGACCTAAAGACTTTAAAAATGATCGCCTGAGCTGTGTAGTTTAGTGCACGCAGGTCAATTTTTTACCCTGGATTTAGTCACATTTGGGTCAGTCTCTCTCTCTCTGCTGGGTGACTGAGAGCGTCACACAAAGCATGGGCTTGGTAGCTCCAGCAGCAACTGCTAGTGATCTTAAAAAAAAAAACTGTAGGCAAACAGAACATCTGAGTGCAGAATTGAACACAACCTTCACAATATGATCCAAATGGCTTAATGGTTTTACCATGGAATAGCTACCTCTTGATAGCTTGATTGCAAGCTCCTGACGGTTTCTAGTCATCAACGTCTGATCAACACATTAGTTGTCATATTACTTGCTCATACACAACAGATCATGTCGCCCAAGACTGTCCCAAATGCAACATATCAAGGCAAAACTTTTTGCCTAGAGAAACATCCATGCAAGTCAAACTTAACAGGTCGCTGAGGGAATTAAAAACAAAAGACTGTGAAGTTCATACTAGAGACAACAGTGCAGATATAGATAATCTAAGTCAAGCAAACGAAAGAAGAAGGACTTACTCATACTTCTTTCTTTTTTTTTCTTTTTTTTTTGATGTTCATTTGCTGTTAACTCAGGAGGAAAGTTCTGGTTGTTTGCTCACTTCTTCTTCTTCTTCTTCAGCGATCTCTGGTCATGCGCATAATCCACTGTGGGTCATAAACTGGGATGTCTTTTCAAGGTCTCTTAGGTTTCCCCAAAGCTTAGTTGTCAGTTCTACTGGGTGTTGCCATATGTCGCTCTGCAGCTCCGCCAGGAGAGGACAGTCTTGCAGGACATGTTCTGGAGTCTGTTCAGCACGAAGGCACTGGCAGAGAGCTGTTTGGCTCATACCTAATTTATGTGAGTGTTTATTGAGTCTGCAGTGTCCAGTGCGTAAGTGAAAAACTGTGACTTGTCTGTTCTGTTCAAGTGTTTCAGAAAATCTTTTCCGTAGTTATAACCAGTGTTGGTTTTCCAATCTGTTTCTGATTTTCTCTTAATGAAAGTTTTGACTTCTGAAAAGATAGTGGCTGGTAGGTCTGTGGTTTGTTACTGCCTTCCTTGGCTAAAGAATCTGCGCTTTCATTGCCTTTGATGCCACAGTGAGACGGAATCCACTGCAAGTGAATTTCTGCCTTATTTGACAACATAGCAAGTTCCAGTGTTAGACTTGCTCACTTCTGAACTTTAATCTTGTTCCAGAACTTGATTTTTGCCTGCACCTCTGTTGCACAGATCTGGCTTTTTTGCGGGGGGGGGGGGGGGGGGGGGGGGGGGGGGGGGGGGGAGGGGTGGGAGGGGGGGGGGGGGTACCAGACTGCTGTTCCTCACCGCTCGGGTAAATGTACTTCACCTTCGAATGAAACACCTTTAATTAGTTGACTTTTACGACATGATAGTGGGGGGGGGGGGGGGGGGGGCAGTGGGTCTGTTCATGTTTCCCCTTACAATGGGTACCTTTAAATTGATGGGGAACTTGCTTATGCAAGTCCTGGAACAGTACCAAAGTCCAGAAATGGATGAACAATCAGGACTTTCCACCAGAGTTTATAACCAGTGTAAACAAACAACTGTTGGTAAACTGTAGATTTGGTGAGAGATGAATTCCAGACAGATGATGGAGATCT